CCCCCCCCCCCCCCCCCCCCCCCCCCCCCCCTCGGGGCGATTCTCTCAACACAAGTGCTGTGACTCGGGCAGACAGGAGGAGCCCCACGTTTTGGCTTCCTCCGGTCTCTGGTGCGATGTTCATTGGACAGTAAGATCCGTCAAGTCTGGCTCTCTTGAAGCAAAATTTCAAAATCTAAAGGCGGAGAAGGAAAAAAAAAATCTTCATAACTATCCAACTGAATTGCAATGAGTGTGTACTTACGTAAGCTTGCACACACACTGCACTCGGGAATACAGTTTCACTTATACACACACATATGCACAACAATCATACAGAAAACACTGAAACGGAATCATCAATTGATTCACAGCGCATCCTAAACCTAACATATAATAGAAATAGCTCAGCCTAGTTTTACGCTCGGTAAAAGCCATTCAAAAACGTTTAAAATGTCCCACCGCTATCTGCACAGTATAGGTCTTGACCATTTTCATTTTTTTAGCTCTCAGAGAATCTAATAGTGAAGGCGGGGGCTGATTAGATGTTTTAGCAAAGATCAGTCCCTCCAGGGCTGTGGTGATCCAAATCACGGAGATGGGCATCAGAGACGATCGAGTGTTAATAATGAAATTCTCTCCAGTGGTCGATTTGCGGATGATACCGTTAATTTGGGCTCCCGTTCAAACGAGGGAGACTTCCTGTTAATAATCTCCGCCTTATTAGAGAGCTCCAGTTTGCCAGGAGGTGCAGTAAATAACCAGAGAGCTTTCCATGTTTCATTTTTATAAGCCTTGGTCTGTACTTAGCCGCATCCAATGCTGCTGCCGGTGCTATTTGGACCCTTGGTTGGTGAATGAAGGTCAGCAAGGCCAGCTTCACTGCACCTGTTACACCATGATGGGAGAGCTGCACTGGGTCCTTTATTGCTCTTAATGTTGATTTTAATGGGGCATGTTGTTCGGAAAGTTAGTGTGAACGCTATGGTCGCTAGATGTGCCTAGATATATATGTGCTGAGACTAAGAACTATATTTCTCTGAGGGCCAGATTGCATCGGAAACTAGAAGCCACGGTCCCGATGATGAATTTTGCTGGGAGGCTCTCAATAATAGAACAGATTAAATTTGACTTCAGTTTGGAAAACCTGATCCTGGAGAGCTGGTACCCAGCAGGTTTTCTATCCTACCTGGTCTCTGATGAGCCAAACCCGATCTCAAGCAGATAGGAACTCAAAAGGTAGGACCCTACTACCCCTGACCTAGACCACCTCTGTGGATATTGTCACCTCACACCTCCATGGATTTGATTCTGTCCCCAGGTCTTCATGTGTGGAGTTTGCACGTCTGCCTTGCAAGAGATAGGTGCCTTGCCCAGGTACACACTGCCACTAGCTATTCCCATGACCGCTGCATCCCAGCGGGACCACTGCATCCCAGCGGGACCACTGCAAAGCAGTCATTGGACAAACGAGGTTTTATAATCTCTTCATTATGCACCAACTGTCTTCTATCACTTCCCATCAGTTGATGTAAAGGTTGAGTTGAACCAGATGATTGGTATCAAAATCGCCCCGAGTGTAAGAGCTTGGATATGTGTTGTTCTGCAGGTCGGTTTACTGAGGGCAGTCCCTGCTTCTCTCCCCCCCTGTGAAGCAAAGAGGCCGTGGCTGGCGATGGCCGTCGATTCCGGGTTGCCGACTCCGCTTTCCCGCTTCTCTGTGACTCAGCACCGACGCCCCGTCCGCGTCCTCCGGCAGTCCCGAGGTCCAGGTCCCATCGCGCCTCAGCGTTCTCACATGTGCTGCTCGTCTGAAGGCGCCGAATGCAGCCCTCTCGCATTAGATATGCACACCTCGCCAAGCAGAAACACTCCGGTGTCATCTCCTGACAGGGAGCCGCTTGATAAGTCACAGCTTCTGCGGTCGGTCTCCTTATGTTCCCTCACAGTCTGAAAGCAGCGCTAAAACTTTCCCAAAATCTACTGATGTGTATTGCACTTCTACCCTAGAAAAGGCAGCATTTTTAGATTTGTGCTCAAGACAAATGAACAGCTCCGATTTGGTTCCAAATTTGGCTCACTGATACAGATGCTGCATGACACAGTACTGAACATTGTATTATATGTTAAACTGTTCTATCATTTTGCTTAGGAAAGAATGATGTTAAGCACAGGTGCTTGGAAAGCTGTCAGAAATATGAACGCTAGAGGGGATGTACAGAGAATAAGTTTGGATAGGTTACTGTACTAAAATTTCCACTTTTTCACAATCTATTGCTGGCAGATATGGAAGAAACACATACAAATTAAGAGGTCGAAATTTACAAGATAGGCTAGATAATCTTTTACTGGAAATATTGAAGGTGTCTGGAAATCAAAGAGGTTGCATTATGATGGAAGCACAATTCAGTTTGCAATTACAATGCTCTTAATATTTTCAACAGAAACAGGTAGGAACTGGGGGTCGGGCAGAGAGGTCAAAACAAAGTAGGAGTGTTTTGCAAAACGCTCCTACCCACAATGACTCGGGGATAACATGCAAACATGGGGCCATGGCAGAGATTCAAACCCTGGTCCCAGAGGCTTGAGACAACAATTCTAACCACTGTGCTACCCTCTGATGTCGCTTTTGCTGCTGTTGTCATAGTTAGCAAAAGTAACGCAGTCTCCAGTCAGCATTCCAGATACATCATTGTAATTATCTGGGTGTAGACAAACTGGATGAAAAATTAAACATCAGGGATCCCATCTGAACAGTAAAGTGCTCAGGTATTGCCTTTTTATTTGTTCAGATTCATTTAACCAGTGTTCAGTTCTTTGAGAAGCTCATGAACTCTGGTTCGTTTCACAGAGTAGCTTTTTAGAAGAAGAATACAAATCTTACCACTTCAGAAGCACAAGTATTTGGGATTTCAGCACAATATCATCTGTAGAGATGGGCAATGCAGAGTAAAAGTCAGGTTTGCCATCTTGTTTCCTGGCTAATTTCAAGGCCAGAGGTGGCAGCCAATTACACGACGAACACGAGTCACGTGATGCGTGACAAGACCATGAAACGAAACCAGTGCTGTGTCTTCACGCTATTTAGGAAGCACGTGTTTCCACAGGCCGCGGAGGAAATAAACTCCATCACAGCCACTTAGTGGATGAGAAGAACAAGCGCACTGCTCTCCGGGTGAAGGTATCGGCTAATTAACTTTTCATCAGCGTGAAAAGATCCGCGCTAACAAAATGATAGACGGAACTGATTACATCCCCTCCCTGTCTAACAATAGACAAGCTAGTACTGGACTGAAATAAAATTCTCACACGCGTCCCACAAAGAAAGCACGCAATGCTTAAATGGCTCCTTCGTTTGCTTCAAACTGTCATTTCTGTCTGGCGCTTTACGTTTACATTTATTTTGTTTATTTTTTTTGGTCGTTGCTCTTGCCTAAAGTGACGTACAGAAAGTGACGTTCATTACGAACACATGCGCTGTCAAGTAGTCGACTAGGCATAAGTGTAACTAGGCTCCCAGTGTGTGCCCAGGTTTAGAAAGCATGAAGTGGAGAATGGTGAGAATAGTGCATTGTGGGAGGAGATGGCAGTGGCGGTCAATCCTATTGCTGGGGACGTCCTTATTTTGGGTACTAGGATTATGCAGCATCGCATCTCGGTTTGAATGCTGCCCCATGCCAAACAAACAGCCTTGCCAGGGAGAGAGAAGTGCATAGGAGACTTTAGGGGGATCAGCAAACCACTGGACAGTCAGATGTCTGTTCCGCTTAAAATACTTTGGGCAACTGCTTTTTTATTATCATTTCGTTTTTAATTGATGTCTGCAAAAAATGCCATCACTCAACATAATTGCTGGCTGTGCTTCTTTCCTTTGATCTTTTGCCCTCTATTGTTTGATTACTTTGAAGCCAGTCAGGCTGATTTACTCCAAGCAGGGCCGGCCTGCCCTGTAGGCGATATAGGTGATCAGCTACGGCGCCATTTGATTGGAGGCGCAAAAGAGCGACCAAAACACCTCTGCATGCCTTCCATAACATTAGCTGTTTAGACGAGCTTTAATATTCCAGTACTTGTGAAACAGACACAAACTAGCTAGTTAGCAACCTGATACCCTCCATCCATCCATTTTCCAAACCGCTTATCCTTCTGGGTCGTGGGGGGTCCGGAGCCTATCCCGGAAGCTACGGGCACGAGGCGGGGAACAACCCTGGACAGGGGGCCAGCCCATCGCAGGGCACACTCACACACCATTCACTCACACATGCACACCTATGGGCAATTTAGTAACTCCAATTAGCCTCAGCATGTCTTTGGACTGTGGGGGGAAACCCCACAATGACATGGGGAGAACCTGCAAACTCCACGCACGGAACCCAGGCGGAGACTCAAACCCTGGTGCCAGATACCCTGTGCTGCTGAAATGTTTTTTGTTATATAAATTAACTAGCAAAATTTGTTTTCTAATCTGGTGGGTGGATGTCAGCAGAATCTCACCAACGGCGCCAGCGTACCCTGAACCAGACCTGACTCCAAGCCTCTGTATTGGCAAACTCAGAATGTGTTTGCGGAAAACCAGTGTTGATATGTGCAGATTATGTGTATATATTACTGGGTATGCGATGGATACATTTACTTTGGTTTATATCAGGAATACCAGTGATACACATGATTTAGTAACTGTAACTGTTTTTTTTTTTTTGCTGTGAGGCTAAAATTGTCTTTTCCTGGTAAACCTGGAGTAACACAACGATACGCATTGGAATAAACATCTTTCTCTAGGCCTAATGGAAACACTAGAGAAATGCAGTTTATTATATACAATGAGCGGCAATATTCGATTGCTGTAGAAGCATAATTAGAAAATTTAAATCTGGTGTTTAATCTGGCGGTTATGCATTAATTTTCCTCTAGGCATAGAATGACAATTAGTCACCCCAACTTAGACTCTGGATCTTGCTATTTGTATGGAGCATCAAATCAACTGCGAAAAAATGACTAAGAAAAGGTTTAACTGTCAGTGTCCAATAAAAATGTGCAGTGAGATGATCAATTTCTAAGATACATTGAAGTATTCCGTGAGAATATTTAATCTTAATTAAATTTCCTTTCTAAAGCTATACCGAAATCATTT